AAAGGACAGCGAGACATTTATGACAGTAGCACTAGGTGACAAGAACAGCATTTGCCACTGCTTCTTCATTGCTTTCTTTGTTACTCTGCCCGGGTAAGAATTTAACTTTCAATATGCTCATTACTCTACTGATGTCAGTGGTCTCTTGAGTCATGGTTTCCTGCCTCAGGATTCTACTGGTTTAGAGGACTCCATGACCCCGTTCTCAGGACATGTTAAATCCTTTCTCCCATCCAAGTCCTAGAAGGTTTGTATAATCTGCAAACGCTCTGTCAATTAATGAAGAAGATCTGGACCATGATAAGAAGGTCAGGAACAAACCATCACATCCCTGGCTTCCTCCCTCACGCACTGTGGCTTAAAGTAATTACCCTGTGGTAGTCAGTGACTCTTACCCCACACTGCTCCTCAACATGCAGGACAATTATTTAGCACTGGATGGACCCCCTTCTCCACCAAGAAATGAGGACACTGTTTCCAAATGCAGTCCCTGAATTTCATGGTCAGAAACTTCTCAGAGGGAGTCAAAATCCTGACGCTCAGCACTGGTCACACTCAGAGTCACAGGCATCAGGTCTCATTTGCCCCACCATTGCCAGGTCCCTACAATTCTGCACAAAGGACTTCTCCTTAGGAGCCTGTTTGATTACAAAAATGCCTTGTGTCGGGGGAAAGGAAGTCAGCCTACAGACAGAGAAGCAGGCATATGGCTGTTAGTTAGGGACACTGGACTCAGTACTAGACACTCCAGGATGGCAGAATTCCAGGACTTTTATTGTGTTATTTTAAAAATCCTAGCTGTAGCTTACTACAGTAAAAGATCATGATTAAAGTCAATCATGGGAGGAGGTGTATGGGTGCAGAGTCCAGAAACTTTCTGCACAGGGAGCTTCCCAGTGGATTTGCGGACAATGTCAACATTCCCAACCACTGGGACAGTGAAGCAGCACCCTCATCTCTTGGGCTACATTTTAAAACCTGTCAGGGGCTTTTTAAAATTCCAGATGTCTAACCTCATGTGCAATGTCAGACAGGTTACCCTAAGGCATAACATGTGCAGAAGGTCACACAGCAAGCGCAGAAACTGAGGAGTTTATTAGCCACAAGGGACCTGCTCTGTTGATGTTTTGGAGAAGTAAATGAAGGTGCAAAGAAGGGCCCGTGCTGCCAATCTGACTAGGAGAGAACAGGGCATGCCAGGAGGGTCCAGGAGGAATAAGAGATGTGAGAGGTCGTCTTGAGAACATGAGCTCCCAGGAATGGACTGGAAATCTAGGGAAGGCTCTGGCCCTCTCTGGGATTCCAGTTCTGTGCTATTGAGCATCTAGGGCAGGACAACCCAGGTACATGTGTTACTCCAGTCAGTCCTCATTACATGTTGAATTAACCCTCAAAACAATTTTGTTATCCAAGCGGTTGATGTCATATCGAGGAACATCCCGAATGTGCAAGGAGATTTAGAACAGTTGTTCAAGATCAGACTTTCCAGAAGGGTGAGGATCTCCAAAGCTGTCAACAGCAGCCCAGCCCCAGACAGCCCCAGGAGGAAAGAGCGAAGACGCTGGGGAAACTTGAGCCAGGACTCTGAGAGGCCAGGGGGCAGTGAGAATGGCTGCTTCTGGATTTGGCAGGAGAGTTGGGAGCCAAGGAAAGGACTGTTCAGAGCTAGGGCTGTGAGTCCCGGCCTTCTGCCCACTTTCCCGCCTGGGTGGCAGAGAAGAGGCAGCAAGCCCACCTGTGATGCTTGCAGTGGAGTCACGGTGGCCCTGGAGCCGGCTGGGAGAGGCGCTGATGGCAGGGGGCGCTAACGACTCTCACGGCTTCACCTGCCCGCCCTTGCCTCTTCCTATTTGCCTCTGCAGCTCCTGGACACCATGTGACCGTCATGCTCCACACCGCTCCTCTGGCTATTTGCACAAAAGTCCTACTGAAGTCTTGCTACATCAGTGTCCTGAATCAGCACAGATTTGGGGAAATAATGACTTATGAGATAAAGCTTAACTACTGCGTATTCAAGGCTCTCATGACCCCTCCGAACCCCTCCAG